CTAAATTATATTTTTTCCTTAATAATTCAATATATTTATTTTGATCCAATCTCATTTCATGTTTACTAGAATCATAATCAACAGTAATACCAAGATATTCTTTAATTTCACCAATATCTTTCATTTTAAATTTTTCTGATAATAAAATTTTAATCCTTTTAATTTCATTTAAATTTCTACCACAAATCAATAAATCATCGACATAAATTAATAAGTAAATAATATCATTTCCAATTTTATAAACGTACAAACAAGGATCAATATTACTTCTTTCAAAACCTAAATTTATCAAAAATGTATCTAGGCACTCATACCATGCCCTTGGACTTTCTTTTAAACCATATAAAGCTTTAACTAATTTACAAACTTTACTTGTTCCATCTTCATAACCCTTAGGTTGTTTAATATAAACTTCAGAAATTACTTTACCATTTAAAAAGGCTGTTTCAACATCCATTTGTTCAATTACTAGGCCCATTTGACAACAATATGACAATAAAATCTTTAATGTTTGCATTTTAGCCACAGGTGAATAAATATCATCAATTTCATCAGTTTGTTGAAAACCTCGTACAACCAATCTAGCTTTATAAGTATTATCAGACTTTTTAGTATAAACCCATTTAACATCCAGAATATTTTTGTTTGTATCATTTTTAACCAATTTCCAAGTTTTACTTTTATTTAAACTATCAATTTCTTTGTCCATAGCTGTTTTCCAATACTTACTTTCATTAGAATTTATCGCCTCCTCAAATGTATGTGGTATATCAGTTCTACACATATTTACAAAAATACTACTATTATATACATAGTAGTCATCAAATTTCTTTGGAGGATTTTTGGCTCTGTGAGATCTAGGTAACTCAGGTTCATTTTTATTCACACTATCATCCATACTTTCATTTGTACTTTCAAAAGTTTCATCTATTGAGTCATTTTCAGAGCTTTCATCAATTTTATCAGGGTAACACTCTTCATTATTATCATTATCTGATTCGTTAAAGTCTAAACCTATACACTTAACGTTTTCTTCAACAATATCCACGTGTCTAGCAACAATGACTCTGCCATTTAATAATACACGATAACCAACATTACTATAACCAATTAAAATTCCCATATCAGCTTTCTTATCCCATTTAGAGATTCTCTTCTGTTCTGGTCTTCGTACAAAAACTTTACTTCCATACAAACGCAAATTAGAAACATCAGGTTTCTGTCCAAAAAATATTTCATATGGAGTTTTCTTTTCAATTGTATCAGATAAAGTACGATTTTTCAAATAAACCGCAGCACAAACTATTTCAGGCCAATATTTTTTATGAATATCTGCTTCAGCCAACAAACATCTTGACATATCCATTATAGTTCGATTAAACCGTTCTGCAGTCCCATTCAATTCATGTACATATGTAGGACAATTATCAATTACTATACCCCTTTCTTTTGCAAATCTGTAGACTTTACTGTTCAAATATTCTTTCCCATTATCACATCTTAAAATCTTTATTTTCTTTCCAGTCAAATTTTCACTTTCATTCGTATATTCATTCAAACAATCACATACTTCTGCTTTTGATTTTATAGCATATACTTTAGAAATCTTACTATAATCATCAATGAAAGAAACAAAATAATTTTCACCTTTAAACCCAGTAGTTCGAAAAGGCCCACAAACATCAGTATGTACAATCTCTAAAATATCTTTAGCTTTTTTTCTACTGTTTACAAACGGAATATTATGCATTTTACTTTCAATACAAATCTTACATTTCATAAATTCAGATTCAAACTCATTAGGAATTCCATTCAACAGCTGATCCTTAGATAAAATATTCAAATATTTAAAATTTACATGACCTAATAAACGATGCCATTTTTCCTTTTGATTCATATTATTCATATCTTTATTTGCAACATTTACATGCAATTCAACTGATTTTAATTTACTTTTCATAATATATAAGCCATTATTTTTTAAAGCAACTGCTGTTATATTACCAAGTTTATCAAAAACTTTTGAAATATTACCTAGAGAAATAATCTTATTATTTTCTGTTATTTTGCTATAACTTATCAAATTTGATTTCATATCTTTAACATAGAAAACATTTTGCATATCTACTAAACTCTTTTTACCAAAAGCATCAAAGTAACTTAAAACATTTCCAATTTTAGTAGCTTTTACAACCCTATTATCTCCTAAATAAACATTAATGGGATCTTTAAGTAATTTACATTTATCAAATAATTTTTCATCATTAATAATGTGGTCTGTACAACCACTATCTAAAAGCCATTTTATTTCAATACAATTATTTACATTACCTATTTCAGTATTTTGTGCAATAACTGACATATCCTTACCAAGAGCTACTGTTGTAAGCCAAGAAGCACTGTTTCGCTCTTCGTTCTTCTGTCCTTGTCGGTTGAACCGCTGTGCACTTGTTCCATGCGTTCCGCGCTGTCCACGTGAGTGGCCACGTCCTCTGACGTAGCTTCCTCTTCCGGCTTCTTGTCGACCTCGCGTTTCTCTCCACCAGCCTCTACTGCTTGTCGTTTGTCCGCCATTACCCGACGCTTGATTGGCGCCATTTTTGCAATCTCGCTTGAAATGACCAACTTCGCCACACTGGAAGCATGATCGATCCTGTCGACCTTTATTTACCACAAATGTACTGGATTTTCTTCCAAAATCATTGTTTTGATTTTTTAATTCGGACATCATAACCTTAGTTTTTACGTAGTCTGCAGTTTGATCATCTTCTTTTAATGTATCTATTAAATCACCAATATAACTGTACGACTCTGGCAACGTGTTTAACATATAGTTCAATTTTTCCTTTTCAGACACACTAGCACCCGCGCTTTTTAACTCGTTTATAGCTTTTTCGAAGTCACTAAAAAATGTTGCACAGTCTCCATAGTTGTTCAATTTTAATCTTTCCAAGTTATTTCTACATACTATCTGCAATGCCGTTGATTCTTTCAAATATAAATTATCAAATTTCTTTATCATCTCATACGCCGTAGTTTTTTCGTCGATGTACTCCATCTGTCGATCCGATATTGCACCGCATATATAATTCATTGCTTTTACATCATCGTCATCCCAATTTGTATCATCATTTTCATTTTTCGGTCTGGTTACCACAACATCACACTTCTTCATTTTCAAAAATAGCATAAGACGTTTTTTCCACATTTTATAATTCTCCCCATCGAATATAGGTATTCTAAAATCACTACTACCTGCCATCATGTGTCACACTTTTTTTTTTCAAACTGCACCAAACTTTTTCTGTTGTAAAAGGTACGACTTTCCAACCACGCTCTGCTACCATGTTAAGGTGTGGATTTGGAAAATAAATAGTCGTACTTTACTACTATTATAAAAGGCTTTATTTCCTATAACATACATACTAATTAACTAACCTAACTTAAGCCACCATACTTCTTACTACCACCTACAACTACATGATACTCATTGACATTACTATTATTGTCTGTCATGTCAACCCATGACACTATGGGTGCGTTCCGCTTACTCTTACACCAATATATCTGTGTATACAATATAAATGTATTACATTCTCAACAACCTGTTATCTGAATGGCGCGAATTTTCAAAAGACTGGATTTAGATCATTTTTATTGTATCTATGTGACTCATATATCGGAATATGTCTCAGGTTTTTACCTATGTTAGAATAGGTTTACTGTTTTTGTCAATTAATCGGTTAGGTGTATTTGTTCGTGATTTTCCATATAATTCTTTCAGTTTTTAATGTAAATTATAATGATCACATAGAGGGCAGAGAGTCTAGAAGATCTTCAAACCCTGTTGAATGCTGTAAACAACGAATGCACTGAAAAGGCCTTAACAATCAACGCAAAAAAAAACAAAATGGATGATGGTCGGAAAAATTAATATCGAAGAGACTCAGTACTAAGATTAGATAACAAAATCCTGGAAAGGGTGGAACACTTTAGATATCTGGGTAACTGGATTGACTGCAGGGTTAAAAGTGACGAGGAAATTTCGACCAGAATAGAACTCGCACTGAAAAACATTATTAACTGGCGTTCTGTATTGTGCAGTAGAAGTCTGTCGTTGACCACACGTCCAAGAGTATTTAAGTGCTACGTCTGGTCCACTTTGTTCTATGGATGTGAAACCTGGACAACAAAAATAAAAAATTTGAGTTATGGTGTTACCGTCGCATGCTCAGAATCCCGTGGACAGTACACATATCTAACGAACGTGTGCTAGAGACTGTGCACAAAGAGCGAGCATTGATCAACATCATCAAAATGAGAAAGGTCCAATACTTCGGTCATATAATGAGAGGACCTAAATATCGCTTACTCCTGTTAATCACTTAGGGCAAAATCGAAGGAAAACGTTGGGTCGGAAGAAAACAACTGTCCTGGCTGCGTAACATTAGACAATGGACAGGTCGAACGGTCAAGGAACTGTTTCATCTAGCTGCCGACCGAGAATCATTTCATCAGCTTGTCAATATGACCATAGCCAAAGCTTGAATACAAGCACGGTACACAAAGAAGAAGATAATGATCATGCTTTTTCTGCAATTCTTCCACTTCGAGGCATGTTTCCATCATCCACTTTTCCTTGGTCTCTTTTATTTTGTTCCTTAATAATTTATGTTTTTCTGTGTACTTATTTGGATTTTTGTTTCTATATTTTCTTCTTTGTTCCATGATTTCCAGTATTTCTTAAGATTTTCGGCTTTCTGTTTTCTTTTGTTGAGTTTCTTTCTGTGTTTTTATAACAAATCTTTGATTTTGCTTCACATAATGTTTACATTCTCAGTGTTTTGTATTTCTGATGTTAATTTCTTCATTTCTTCATTTTTTGATTGATACAAATTGGAGTCTCAGCACGGATTTCACTTATCCTGAGTAATAATAATATAAAGAATACAATTATATCATTATAAAAAATTATAAGACTAAAACTACATATTTTTTAGGTAGTCTTCTGTAATATCGTTTACATCCAATGCTCTCCTTATCATCTTTTTGCCTTTAACGATGACAATGAGGAAGATCACTTTAACGATGTGGACCACTTCGAACACAACCTTCCAAATGAAGCTTTTGTGGACAATGACGTAGATGATCTTAGAAATCGAGTTGCCCTGAGATCTAGCGGTATTGGAGGAATTATAGCTGGTTTGGGACAAATGGCCAATGGCGTAGTTGATGTTTTAGGTAAAGGTGCAGTGGCTCTTATTGGTACCGGTCGTGATCCTCCAACAATCGTTGTACATCAACCTCCACCACCCCCCATAGTGGTGCCAGCATATCCGAATCAAGTACCAATACCAATACCAGTGCCATGTTGTTCGTAATCCTACAAATTGGATGACATATACTTCTAATAAAGCCATTTATCTAACATGTCTCATGTTCTTTATTAAACATTAATCATTGGCTTTAAATGCAGTTCTGTGTTCTCCCGAGACCTTATCATGAAATCCTCATCCTTTTTTGTAGATTGGGACAGTAAATTATATAGTGGAATGCTATTAGGTCCACCTATTTATTACCTCTTCCGTCATTGGATGAGTTTTTATCGTTGAGTAAAGATGAAGTGATGAAAAAGATAAGTGAAAGTTAGATAGTATGGAAGAGAGAGGTATAAGGATAGAACAAAAAATTAATGAAGTGTAAAATGAAAGCTTATTTTTCTTGTCAATGAAAGTGGAAATTGCAGAAATAAAATAAAAATGCTATAAATTAGAACCAAAATTAGACCAAAACCATAACAAATACAGATGAAGACATCACAATGAGAATCGGACAAGATGAATAGAACAAGTTCAGGATTATAGATATATCTAGCTCAAACTATAAAATTTAACAAAGAAAACCAAACAGCAGAGATAAAAAGACGAGTTAGACTGACATAGGCGGCATTTGGCAAACTAAGCTACATTTTAAAAAACAAAAGATATCCACAGCATCTTAAGAGCAAAATATACAATCAATGTGTACTCCCTGTTTTTACTTATGGTTCCCAAACGTGGACATTTACAAAAGCAAACATGGACAAAATGATAAAACCCAAAGAGCAATGGAAAGACAAATGTTGCACATAAGACTAATGGATAAAAAGAGAAACGAGTGGATAAGAGAGAAAACAAAAGTGAGGGATGTTAGACAAGAAGTTGCAAAATTGAAATGGAGATTTGGCGGACACAATATAAGACAAAAAGAAGACTGATGGAACAAAATTCTTATAAATTGAATACTGTGGGAATATAAACGAAGCAGAGGAAGGCCCCAAATGAGATGGGCAGATGATATCAAGAAGCACATGGGCTCTAGGTGGATGACTGTACTACAGACAGAGAAGAATGGAAAAGGATTTGGGAGGCCCATGTCCAAAGATGGATCAAAGAAGGCTAATTAGATAAATAGATAGAGGGTGTATCAGGTCTAATAAATGTGTTTTTCTTTTATTAAATATGTAGTTTTAATAAATTATTCAAAAACCTATTTTGTTGTTTAATTATATTTGCTTTAACATTATGCTAAGAAAAAACACCGCAAAAACATAGCATTGGTAGATGCTGTAGATTTAGTTAGCAATTCCTAATATTACTTACAATTTTTTTCCAGTATCGACCATAATAAGCATAAAATTAGGATAAACTACTGTTCCTTCTTTTAAAACTTATTTTATTTACAGATTTATTGATATAAAGTAAAATCGTTTCTAACCGCATTGTTGTAACAATTTTCGCCCGTTTTAAAAGTTGTAGATTCTTTGAAGTCCATTTACTCATTTCAAATTAAAACAATACTTCACAGTTTACTATAATTTATTCTGAGTTACTATAATCTACAATATATCACACATATATTAATTTATTTAATTTTCTATTTCATACACTAAATGATTCTCCACATCCACAAGTACCTTTTATATTTGGATTATTAAAAACGAACTCAGAACTAAGTTTGCTCTCTACAAAATCCATTTCAGTACCTAGTAGCGTCAACTGTGCTTTTTTATCAATGAAAACTCTTACACCATCTTGGACTACCTCCTCGTCCATTGTTCCTAAAAGAAAGCAAAGTTTCTTGAAAAATTGGCATTGGTCTATAGTATCTATTTGTACAAGTTAATTTTATTATATACATGTGAAGGCCTACCTTTCTTTTCAGCATAATCTAAAGTATATGACAATCCATTACAGCCTCTCTGTCGTACTCCAATTTTTAGCCCTATCTACAAAACAATAATTGATTATTTATTGAGATATAAAAATATATTTTTGTTTAAGTTAATTGGAACTTATTACTGCACAGCATAACAATAAATGTGTTAGATTTTAAATTGATCATCATTCTCCTCCATTTTGGAAGAATTTTGGTATTAAAATTCAATATTAAGGCTACAGAATGATCAAATCTGTTACTTACATACTGTTGTTTGTCCTTTAATATATCTTTTATCCTGCTAACTGCAGATGGAGTCTAAAAAATAGTTAATTTCTATTATTTGGTGAAACTTTTACAAATTAAGAGCAGTTCCCATTTAGACTCTTACCAAAAGTAATGCTGCTCTGGTGGGTAATAAACTTCTTCTTTTAACTGCTCTAACTGTTGCAGTGGCTACAGTTTTTGCTGACATTTTTGTCGAAGTAAATTATAGATTAATTTGTAAAGCTATATTTTTATTCATCCCTAACCTTATTTGTGAAACGTCAAAAAATACTTCTTCTTGTTAAGTAACTTGTATTTTTGGACTACATAATATATATTTTGGATTCTCAGGTATAGATTTTACTTTCTCTCTTGAAATATACTTGAAATCTCAAGTATATTTCGAAACTCTATATAATAAAAGGTGAACGTAAATTAACTTTAATATAATAAACAGCAAATACATTAAATTTAAATTTAATTCTTGAAAGCTTCCTTTTACTTATGCAACTAATAATGCAGCACAGGTGTATGTAGAGCAAAATTCAATAAAGCATTTAGTATGAATATCAAAATTGGAAATTCATAATATGCTACTTTCTAAACGTTTAAAATTGTTTTTTGTATTTTTTATTAAAAATTATTTCCAGTGATGTATTTTTCATTATTTTCTTCTGTTTTTGCCAGTGCCAAATATTACGTCAAAAAACATTTATTATAATAGTACCTAATAATAAAAATAGTTATTATTCTCCATTCGCTTAGCTAGGGCATATTTTGACAGATTCATTGTAGGAAACCTATAACCATCGAGCAATAAGACAAAAGAGGGAATGTAAAGGTAGAAGGGGTAAACATATTGATAGACAGGAAGTGCCATCTTGAGAGGCCACTTTAGACAAGGATAGAGAGTCTCTCTCCTTGTTTGACATCAAATTTAGTTGGGTTATGTTATTGTTTGTCCCAAATGTCACATGAAATCTTATTTATATTGAAGTTTTTTAACAATTGTGTCGCATTTTAGACTCTTATCATTAATAATTAATTAAAACTTTCTCGTCTTAGACACATTTTGAAAAATATTATATAGCTACTGTTGATAAGTGTCGAAAAATTTAAATTTGGCGCCTTTGCATTTCCGGATGTGTCCGCCATCAGAGGCCACTTTTTTGGTCTCCTTTTTATAACGATTAGATTCCCTCTTTTGTCTTATTGCTCGATGCCTATAACACAACAATTTCTACTTCTCAGTATTAATAGCTCAAGTATACTACTATTGCAGACTTCTTTCTTTGAAAAAAAGAAGAATTATTCAAAATAGTGGAAGTGTATACTAAACCCATCAAATTTTCCCTATATATTTAAAATATACTATTTTGAGTTACTACAATTTAATATTATATTGTAATAAATATTGTTGTTAGTTCTATTTAGTTTATTTAGTTATAGTTCTATTTTGAATTTTATTATTAGGGATAGTCAAAGTTTTCCATTTGTTCTATCAGATAATGCGTTGGTAAGATTTTCTTAAATAAATAGGATAAATGTTCTTTAAAAGTTAATATTTTTAGATGATTAAGGATGCTGTTAAATACAAGGTAATCAACCTGCACAAAGATTTATTCAAAACACCAACCATTTTTTTAATTATTTGCTCATTCGGCGTAGATTGATCACTAAAATATATTTATGAAGTTCTGTAAATATATTCTTAATAACAAAAACATTTCAGTTACCATCCATGTATATATAGCATGTATAAAGTTTCTATTATATATAAAAAATATATTTTATAAGAAAGTTACAGTAATTTAGTTTATACCGTTAAGTTGCCCCAAATGTAGGCAACCAACTTAAACTTTTTTGGCATTTAGCTGGAGTTTCTTGAGAATATTTTTAATAAACGTTTAATATTTTCCAGTTAATTTATTATTTTTTTAAAATTTATGATAATAATGCTGAATAAGCAATATTTTAAATGATATTTAATCACAAAAGTACTTAATATTATTTTATATAATCTTCATAAAGTACGTTTCTAATAGAAATTAGCTAAAATTATATAAAAAAAACTAGTTTATGATAGTAATAATAGAATATAATAATATTTTTGATGATATTGTATTATCTTTTTGATGCATAATATTTTTTAATTATAATATGAATATTAAATTTTTTATCTAACGTACTTTATGAGGATTATATTATATAACACAATATTAAGTACGTCTTGTGATTATATATCATTTGAAATATGGCTTATTTAACATTATTATTATCACTTTAAAAAATAATAATAAAATTAAATATATTCTCAAGAAACTTCAGCATAAATGCTAACAAAAAGTTTAAGTTGGTTGCCTATTTTTGGCGTAACCTAACGATATAAACTAAATTACGGTAACTTTTTTATAAAATATATTTTTTACATATAATAGAAACTTACTATCTTTATACGTGCTATAAATTTTTAAGTCATATAAGTTTGCAAAAGAGGTCGACGAAATACTTTAATGAAATGCGCTATGAGCACGTGTGCTTGGTCGTATAGTAATTTCCAGCCACTTCTAGTCTGTCAAAAAGTAACTAACTTCGTAAAAACATAATTACTAAAATCACTAGACAGTTCGGACTGGGATTAGCGACCGGGTATACATGTCGTAATTTGACGTACAAAATACAAAGTAGTGTAGGTAGGAACTATTGCATACAGTTTTCATTGCTTGTTACGATCATATACTTCACTGATATTGTATTTCCTTTTTTTAGTAATTCTTAACAGTTGGTTCTCAAGAATACTAAACAAAGTAGCTTCAATTTGTCTTCATTGACACATTAAGAATCTGCCCCCATTAGATTCTCATAGACAGCTGCTACATGGTATTCTAGAAAAAACCTTTAGTGATAATGATTACGCAGTCGCCGGCGCTCGTTCAACAGTGATATTAGACGCCTAAACGTTTCGGCAGAAACCTAAGAGTGGTGTAGATGACACTGAATCTTTCTTCTGGAATATCAGTTATCTCGGCTATTTGTGTAGCATCTTTATTTCCGAGAAAAACATAATCTTCTAAAAACTTTAGCAATTTGAGAAAGTCATGGACTCTTCTAAATATGTGAATTTTTTTTGTGGTTTGGTAATATATATAGAATATATGATATCTTTCAAGTACTACCAATTAAAGCGTTTTATTTAATCACTAAAACCAATATGGATAAGTTTTTAAAACGTTGTTGATTTTCTGAAAACATAATTATTTTATTTTTTGTTGGAAATTTTAATTTTCGCTCAGTATAGTTTTACATCTAAAGGTAAGTCAAGGTTTTTTAACTCCGCCTACATGATCATTGAGTAGATTTACTTTTTAATGGTCTTGTTATGTTGCCGGTCCCAAGTGGATGGTCCCGGAGGAAGGTTCTTGGCTCAAAATATCACTTTAGTCTTAAAAAAAATATATCTGGTTTCCGGTACAGACTAGTTATGACAAATTTTAAAAATTTGCTATTGTACGATTAACGATACTGCTAAAACATTTTATCGTGAAGCAGTTGCGCGAACAGTGGTTTTAAAAAGATCAAGAATGATCTAATCTAAAATTCAAAAATGTTTACTTACAGTAAAATTCATAATAAAAAAAAAGGTAGAAAACGTAGTCGGTAACTGATTACTTAGTAAGTCTATTTCTATTTCTTTCTCATTTCAAAGTCTTTCTCATTTCAAAAAAGAAGAAGACGAAAATAGATATGATTTTAGGTTAGATAATCATTTGGGTTATAAATCAGATCTTCCCTTAAATTAGAATTATTTTTATTTTAAACTCAAGTGTACTATGCCATCCGCTATAATGGAATGCCCAGATTTTAGTGAATTTCAGGTAGTTTTTATTTTATTAGTAGTACATTGACCACGTCTGAATAACAATTACAATTTTTTCCAAAAAAAATCAAAATATCCCCTCAACATATATGTAGTATTCTTAAATGAAAAAGTATGAAATGTTTAATGATATGTTAAAAGTTAGGGCTTTTTGTATTATTTTTTATTATCTCTGTCTTATTTTCTTCTTAAAGCACTTGTTTTTAATGCCTACAAAAATAGTGTTTTCCCAGTAGTAGTAATAAAGCAGTTTATAATAAAATGTTTATTTTGTTTTGTTTTAGGATGCTTTAAAAGCTATGAGGAAGCCACACGATCTGATTATAAATACAATAAATACTGTAGTCCCCACAGATTCCTTTCATGTAGATCCTGTCGAGTCATGTAAAAAACTGTACGAGAACTTAGAGACTGGTAATAAACAAAGAGAGGATTTCATAAAAAATTGTATTACAGTCACAGCAGAACGAGTTAGAAAGATCAAGGAGCAAAGAGATAATAATGCAGATGATATACAGTTATCAAAACAACTTCGAACAGAACAAACTGCAGTAAGTTAATGACAAAGTTATTAATGAAAGAGAAGGTAGTACAATCAGTACACTTTTGTTTTTATGGTAGTATGTCTTTTGCTCATTATTAGCCTAAAACAGTTGTGTAGAATGATAAACCCAATTTTAAATTTAAGAATATTACCTGGGAGAAGAATCAATTGAAACGACACAAGCTTTAAAGTCTAATCTTAAAGCTAATTAGTCTTAGTCTAATCTCCTAGAAAATCTATTCAGTCAATCGTTTCTTTTGTCTTTTTGATATAAAATTACCATAGTTATTTCTTCCTTAATGATGGGTTTTTAATATATTTCTTTGATTTTTTTTAGCTCAGAGTCCTTCAAGTAGAGCTAACAGTAGAAGATTTAATAAGACAACGAACTGCCAAAGTATTTAATGAAAGATGCAGAAAGTACTATAAACCATTGTGATGTTTACATAGGAATCAAAAACCTAATAAAAGTAGTTTTCATATTTGCGATTTAGATTGTCTTTTCAATTTTATACAATAGTTGTTAAATAAATGATGAATTGTTTTTGTATTCTTTTCAATGTCAAAGTCATATGTATTTTTTGATATGGAAAATTTTCTTAGCCTCTACAAAGCAACTGCTCGGTTTCCATTCAAATTGGTATTATTGTGGAAACCATTCAATGATATGGGGTAGATACATTTTCTCCCATTAAATTGTCGTATTCGGATCTTCTGTTACTATCTTACAGTTATAACTGTCATACATGCTTTCCAGTTCATTGTAGAAAGGATATTTTACTTTCAAAAACTATGGAATATTCCAAAAATTTTCTTTAGAATATTTTCAATAAATGTTTAATATTTTCCTGTTAGTTTATTATTTTTTTTAAAGTAAGTGAGATTAAAAAAGGTAAAATCCTGGGTCATCCAAAACTAGTTTGTGATAGGAAGAATAGATTAGTATATACACTATGAGCATGTGTGCTTGATTGTATAGTAATTTTCAGCCACTTCTAGTCTGTCAAAAAGTAACTAACTTTGCAAAAAAAATAATTACTAAATTCACTAGTGAATTCAGACGGATTTGCTAACCAACTTATAGCTTAAAATATGTGACTTTAACTAGGCAACCAGAAATGCGTGAGGCAATTAGAAAAATCCATAACAGATCATTACATGTTAAGTTTTTTCAATTAGTTTATTTAAAATCATATTTGAATCACCTGGAAAAACATTGGGATAGCTTTGTTAACATTATTCATGCTAAGAAGATAATACGGATAAAAACTACTGACAACATGGACTTCAAAAGTTCGGCAGACAATCTGTGGATATATTTGTTCATGTATTAAGCCATAAGCTAAATATAATGTAAAAAAAAGAAACAACAAATATCTCTTATTTTATTTATAAATAAAGTACATACACATATTTTCTTATACAAAAATCAATTACGAAACAATTAATACAACATAAATACTGGCTATAATGGTTTTGATAATGTCGGGATTTTAAAGTTCATATATTCATGAGTGGTTTGTGCTGTCTTTGAAGCTTCAATGTTGGTGTATTCATTGCCGAAACTTTCTTGTCTTTGGTAATCCTCAAACCCTATAAAAAATCAGTTTATTTTATTAATATGAAATTAATGGGAAAAATTCGTCCTTTTCTTGTGATTATTTATACTACAAATAATTGTTATTACCTGGAATTGGTAATCCTGATGGTGGATATTGTATATAAAAGTCATCTGGAGAATCTAGGGAACCCGTAAGAGATGATTCCTGTAAGAAAAGTATCTTTTAGTGCTTTTTTTAACATAAAAAGTTATTTTTTCTTAAATATAAACTAAATTTAATGTAAAAGAAGTATGGAAAAGCCATGTAATTTGGACCTATGTGTAAAACGAGCAGGTGCCATAATTATATCAAGTCAACATTTAGTGACAACTTACTAATTCGTTACAAACCATTCCTAACCAAGATGCATTTAAAACTCAACCTCGTTCGAATTAAAGAAGGTAATGAATATGAGGGATAGCTCTGCTTCATAGCAGAGAAATTTATATCGAAAAGAGAATACAAGCGACTAGAATATCCAGAAGAAAAAAAGTGAGCCTTTGAAAAAATAAGTACAAGAAATCCTAGAACATAACAATAGACATGAGAGCAGAAAATTCTATAAAAGAAAGCACACAATCATTTAGACCAACATTGACAATATGCAAAGACAAGGAGGGGGAACTACTAACAGAAAAGCAAGAAATTATAATGAGATGGAAAGAATACTTTAAGGAAAACCTAAATGCAGATAAGGGAAATGATCAAAACAACACAAGATATTTTACGGCGGAGCAGCACATTGAAAATACGAGTTATGAAGAAGTAGTTCAAATAATACAGAAACTAAAAAACAGTAAAGCGCCAGGAATGGACTGAATTTAGGCAGAATTGTTGAAATATGGAGGACCCGAACTCTGGGGAAGAATCCATTACCTTATAAAGTTGGTATGGACCAAGGAGCAAATGCCGATTGTTCGGCAGTTGGCCTTATTTAGCTAACATAGAAAAAAAGAAGATAAAAAAAATGCCATAATTACAGACCAATTACATTGCTAATGTTATATATAAAATCCTGTCTGGCATTTTCTACACTAGATTGTCAAAATACTCCAAAAATACAATTAGTGATTATCAAAATGGATTCAGACCAAATAGAGCCACTACAGACAACATCTTCATACTTAGAATAATACAAGAGAAAGCTTATGAATACGACATAGAACTAGTTTGCGCAAAGTTTAGACTTACCTCTATTAATTGGTAACTGTGATCTATGGGTAACTTTTTAATAGGTTTAGGTATCGGCAGTGTATTATAATTTAGCTCCATTACTGCCTTATTGAGATCATTTCGAATTTCCTCTTCAGAATGCTTGCCCAGCATTAACTAAAAAAAAAAAAAAAAAAAAAAAATTAGTAAGTATAAAGAAAAATGAGTAGGTAAGTATAAAGAAAAATTAGTAAGTATAAAGAAAAATTCATAAAGAATTAAAGAAGCGTATGAAAAAAAGTAGCAATTTTTACACGAAAATCCTTGTCACGTGAGCTATCAGCGTATTATTGGCTTAATATTTGATTAGGCGTAGATTTATGAAATTTTATTTATTATTTTCTATTCTTAATCAGTGATGGATTCAGTAAATCCTGGACATGTTGCTAGAAAGGAAGACGGAAGATGGACGAAGAGATTATTGGAGTGGAGACCAAGAGCCGACTAACGAAGTCGAGGCAGACCACCCACCCGATGGACCGACGACCTAAGGAGGATAGAAACAAACTGGATTCCAGCAGCTAGAGATAGAGAGAACTGGAGACGTTTGGAGGAGGCCTATATCCAACAATTGATGTGAAAATTCGGCTGGATGATGATGGATTCGAACATAGTTTGATGGAAATTTATTTTATTTAACAATACAACAATGAAAGCTTTATTTTCTTATCCGTGAAATTCTCATCGTGTATTAATTCACTCCATAGTCATATTGAATTTACAATAGAAACAGGACAGAATCAATCCATAAATTTTATACATTTAAAAATTATCAGACTTAAAAACTAACGAGTTTTTCGAATTTCATACTGCCCATACTGACACGACTATACATAATTCATAATACTATATCCACCATAGCACGTTACATATATTAATAGAAATTCCCATTGATCCAGTCTTCAGAGAGTTGACCCCTAAAAATCATACGAACAAGCTGAATTTTGCCGAGAATATTAATTTTGGGACCCCAAAAAGATGCTAAAAGATTTAACACTTTTAACCCCTGCTTCCCCCTAAAATCCGCCTCGTAAGAGGGTAAAAACGCAAAAAATATCGACTTACCAAGAATCTGTACGCCGTGGAAAAAATATTTCAAATAAAAAATGCAGCTGAGATAATTTTAAACAAAAATGTATATTTTGTGAAGAATAAACTGTTCTCTCAGAAACAACGTTGAAGCTACTGTCGATTTTAAATGTCAGTTAAGCCCACAAAATAAATGTTCAATAAAATTTGTATCAGTTTGACGGTAAAAATTCAATATCTCTTGATTCAAGTATCCTATCGACAAAAATCAAGATGCAAGTTTTAAAAGTAAAGAGTGCAGCTTTCGTATGCAGTTTTCGTCTTATGCCGAGAATAAACTCAGTTTCTATAAAGGTGTTAAATACATAAATGTGGCGCTACTTTTGGCATTTTTTACGATTCTCGTGAGATCAATACAATCTACAAAAGAGTGGATGGCGTCAATTCTCAACTCCTAGTGGACTCTCTGTAGATATAAGTAACTTAATTCAGTTTAAAAATTTAAAATCCGTTTAATAACATTAAACTATTATTGCTAAACGCGATTGTTTGTTTATGACATTAAAGATATCGGTGTAACTGGGACGCGCGCTAACCTAAGTGAAGTTTCCAATCTAATCAAAAGCTTATTAAATAATGTGTACAAATTATATTAGTAAAACAATATTATAGAAACAAACGCACGTGAGTTAAATAGCTGGAAAATAACGGGAGTAGTATTATTATTAAGAATGAAGAATTAGAGAACAGTCGAAGCTAGTGTTGTCATCCGTCTACTGGTTACTCTCTATTATTGTACTTAGAGAAGTAATAAAGTAATTATGAGTATCTAGTGCAGCGGTCGGGGAACTTTTTTAATCATTACCCCAAAACATTTTTGTGTAAGTTGATATTACCCAAGGCAAAAAACAAAAAAGCAAAAAAAAGTTCATTTTTAGCATCATTCATATTATAGCTCCCATGATAGTTTTGAACAGAAAACAAGAACTAAAACATAAAATAAACATCATATATTCAATTTCTATGATACCTAGAAATACATAACATAATAATAGATAACAATAATAAGATATAAAAAAATAAAACCCATTGCGGTACTGTAACAAATTATAATAATAATGGTTGTACTAACAAAAATTAGAATTGAAAAAATTATAAAAAAAGAATAATTGAAAACATTCTTCCTTCACGTTTTGAAGAAATGATGTTGTTTCATGTTCGATACAATTGCTTCAAAATTGGGACTTTTTGATGTAAGAGCGATTTGAATACAGTCTTCGGCGTTTAATCGATTTCTGTTCTTCGTTTTTATGTTCACTAGAGTGGAAAAGCCTTGTTCGCACGAATATGTTGTTCCAAATGGTAGCAATTTTTTAACCGCCTCTTCATGTGCAATTTTGAAAGCCTTTGCAGCTTTTGATATCCAAAAAGACGACAGATTTGGTTTACTCTCAAATTGAATACGTGCTTCAGTATTAGATCGAAGTTCAAGAATTGCTTCTGCCAAACCTGAAGGTTCTTCTGGTATCATATCAATTTCACATTTAAAAGGATCTACAATCCAACTGACAGTACGAATATCAAGATCTGGAAAGTAATCTGAAAACCGCTTTCTGAGTTTGATAAGATGTCTTACAATTGTATCCTTGATGTCAGCAAAAGTAATATTTTCGCAATCTTCCAAAAACAAAGCTAACCTTGAAAAAGAAGCTATCTTGTTCTGTTCTACTTCCTGACTCCAATATTGCAGCTTTAATCCAAACGCTGACACTATTTCTCTCGCTGAAATGATATTAATATTCTTTTCTTGCAATTCTTTGTTTAATATATTTATACTCTCAAAAATGTCAGCAAAATATGCGAGATATGCAACCCAGGAAGAGTTTTTAAACTTATCTGCGAGAATATTTTTTTGATCAACCATAAAAATTTCCACTTCAGTTTTGAAAGTCCATACTCGATTTAGTACATTTCCGCGAGAGAGCCACCTTACTTCTGTATAATAAAGTAGTTCCGTATATTCGGCTTCACCGTCCTGACATAATTTACGAAATAGCCGCGTGTTTAGTGCATGTCCTTTGATAAAATTTACGATCTTAATGACATCATGCATGACGGCTTCCAGTGTAGGTTCTAAATATTTGACCATAAAGGCCTGGCAGTGGATCATACAGTGAATAACTTCAATATTTGGGTTATTTTTTTTTATGAAAACCGAAAAACCATTAATATGGCCCAGCATAGCTGGAGTTCCATTCAAAGATACTGAAATACAATTTTCCCATTTTAAACTTTGCGCATTGAAGTATTCATTTACTTTATTGTAGACATCAATTCCACGAGATCTTAACTCGAGAGGAGAACAAAACAGCAATTCCTCTTCAAAATTATCTGCACCTTTGTTGCGAACATATACCATTAGCTGTGAATTATTACTAAAATCAGTTGTCTCATCAAGCTGAATAGCAAAATATTTAGCCTGTTTTAATGAGAAAATAACTTGTTCCTTCACATTTTCTGCTAGTATAGATTCGTTCTTTCACAATAATCTCTGTCATTTTTACAGCAGGTGGCTTAACCAAATCTTCACCAATAGTGTATGGTTTCTTATTTCGAGCAATCAACCAGGCTACTTCAAAGCTAGCCCTTGATGCTGAACGCTGATCAAATGTACCAAACAAGTTGCTATTCAATCTTTGAATTCCTCCTAGGGCATATAAAAACTTTACAAAGGATAGTAGGAAAATGTAATTTATCTTTCACAAATAATAAACAAAAATTTCGGTGCATGCAAAACAAGTTTATAAAAAATCAAATTAAAATATATCCTTTTTACTCACAAGTTTCATTTTTACCCCCAAAAATTTAATTTTTACCCCATTTGGGGTAATTTACCCCGGTTCCCCGACCGCTGATCTAGTGAGTTCGAGTAATTAACCACATGCAGGAGGTAACCTACCCCTAGAGTTCCACTATATGGAACTCTTGATGGAAGCAATCCCGTAAATATTATAAGAATATACAACACTAGCGGAACAACTCGACATCGAGTTTTTTAAATGAAATTTTTATTTTGCGAGAAAAATTAAGATATCAATACAAACAATATAAGCAAGAATATACATAACATTCATCAATAATAATGCAAGTAAAAACTGTATTAAATATCACGAAATATTTCTTCGAAAACAATGTTTTTTGTTACAATGTCTCCATTTTCTGAAAACTTTTGCTTGGCACCGGGAGTTATGTAAACTTTTACTTTTTAATAAAAACGAAACCGGATGTCGACCTTAAAACCGGAATGCAATTTTTAGTTCATCAAATGTCGACATGGATATCATTTAGCAGTTAATTTTGCATGCTGATCACGAATCCGGTGTCAGATTTGCTCTATCTTGACGTTTTATGCGCGTTTCGGGTCACTTCCGGTGTCGGATCGCAACCGGAAGTACATATTTAGATTCGTCCCGACGAGACCTTTCGATCCATATATACATTGTGGAGTCTAAAACTTAAAGTAAATTTTAACTTCCGGTCATCTCAAAACCGGAAGTGAATTTTTGTACCAAAAGTATATCTTGACAATCTCATACGTAATACTAATAATATTTCGAAAAAATATTTTGATTATATAATATGGTTTTTGAGTAAAGTGGTGGACAAGAAAAGGGCTTAGCGTTTTAGTATATAAGATTATTATATGGCGATCCTAGATCAGACGGAAATTGTGCAGATAGAAAATGGGAGGAAAGACGATAAAGTGACAAGGATTTAGAAGACAAAACAAGCGACATAGAGGAAGAAATAAGTATGGCTCCTACAATCAACGGATTTTTAAATATCGCAAGCAAGATGTTGCCCAGTGAGTTTGATGGAAGCGCAGGTAAACTGCAGTGATTTTTAGATACATTAGAACTCCTTGTCCACATTTCTATCGATCGACGCGACAAAAGATAGCACACAAGAAAGAGTGTTAAATTATAGGACAAATTACGAAGCTAAGAGAGGACAGCACCAGTGTAGGAGAGGATATCACAACAAATATGACAAGGGGAGAAGACCTACATTTGAATAACAGAACCCAGCAAAGGGAAACCAATGGAACTATACACACAGAGGGTATAGATAATACAGCAACCAGGCATATAGAGGAAACCAGAGAGGACATAATAGGAATGTAAGGCTACTAGAATTAGAAGATAGCCAAGGAAAATCGGAAAACCCGCAGTTAAGGTGATAATAATTTTCAGTTATAGACCTAATGTCAGGTTTTCACCAAACACCATTAGAAAAATTATCGAGGAAATACACATCGTTTAGCACGGAGAACGGAGCAATTTAATTCACCAGATTAGATAAACTAAAACGAGATTTGAGACATCTCGAAAGTTCAACCTAAAACTTATCCCAGGAAAATGTCAATTGTTTAGAAGAGAAGTCACATATTTAGGACATGATATTTCTCAGGAAGGAGTATCACCAGATAAAGCAAAATATGCAACGATTGAACAACATCCGACACTTAAGACAGCAAAAGAGACAAAAAGATTCGTAGCATTTTGTAACTACTATAGACGTTTTATTCAAAATTTTGCTGAAATATGCATACCACTAAACAGATTATCGATGAAAGGAGTAGATTTTTTTATGTCTAAGGAATGTGAAGAATCATTCAATAAGCTCAAATCATCTTTGATGAAGCCACCAATATTAAAATATCCGGATTTCAGTAAACAATTCATTTTGACAACAGACGCATCCAATGAGAGTTGTTCAGCAATTTTAAGTCAAAACTACAACGGAATAGACGTACCGATCGTCGATAGCATACGCATCAAGAAGTTTTAGTAAAGGAGAATGTAATAAACTTATAATCATTAAGGAATTATTCGTAATTCATTGGGAAATTAACCATTTCTAATGTTATTTATATGGAGCACCAACATTTTGGTAAAAACGGATCAACGGTAAGGATTTTGGTAAACCCTTAACATACCCATTTTCAATGAAGGAACCTACTACGAGATCAGACTAGATCTAGAGGAATACGACTTTGAAATAGAATATATAACAGGGAAAAATAATTACGCAGACAGTCTTTCGAGAATAATATTGCATCAACTAAAGGACTTATACATAGATAACACGCATATACTAGCTATAACCCAAGCTCAATCAAGAAGAAAAATGGAAGACACAGGACACAAAGATACAGAAAGTAAACCTACATTACAGCCGGAAGTCCACAAGCAACCAGTAAGAAGGGTACTAAATAATTTAGAGGCGCATTGATATTCTTTGCAGATTTATACCAGACTTTATGTTTGCGATGTTTCCTAAGGTATAGGAGCTGAGTTATGGTTATCAATCAATGATTAAATGCATTCCGATTTATTAGCAAAAATAACAATTGTTTTCAGAATTTTTAGTAGCTGTTAGCTCGCCCAGGGCAGGTTTCTGTCCTGGGTGACACAGAAAACTCTACAGTCGTCTTAGATGTTTATTATACGGTACATCGAGTGTTTTCGAGATTAGATACTTAGATAAAAAAGAAGAAGTTACATATGGTTGATTTCTAATAAAACTTTCTAAACCATTTGCTACGTTTGGACTACTGTAAAATAGTAGAATAATTAGTTTCTAGAGGAAACCTAAACTGAAAGCAAATTTAAAATTTTACTTACTGCTCTTTCCTCATTGTCTGATAGAGTGCCACTATCGCCTAAGCTACAGGCGCTGATAGAACTAACTCTTCCTGAAGATCCCGAACTAGAGGTGCTCAAACTCCTCAGAGGTCTGTTATTGAGTGAAGAAGAATCCGAATTAGCGGAAGAATTGGTTTGCTGATGGTCGTGCTTCGGTTTAGAGAACAATTTTCTCATTCGTTCGAATGGTGTCGGTTTCTTCATGGCAGTCTTCATTTTGTTTTGAATTTGATCGTATTTGATCCTCATTTCCGTCAGTTGTTCCTGTTTTTCCTTGAACGACTTTTGAACGTCGTTCCTGTTTTTCCATTCTTCGACAAGTCTCTCAGCTTGAGTTATCGAGTGGATGTTGTTCTTGAAGTCGTTTATTATTTCAGCCAGTTCTTTTTGGACGCGATCCTCGACGTCTTCGGACTTTTTATTTTTTCTCATATTCTTATTCATAGCGTCGACAGATTCTTCACAAATCGTTATTATTGGTTCTTCTTTGTTGACTGAGTTGTTTCTTTGAAGAGTTGGTTGGTCCTCTTTGGGAACTAAAACTATATATGAATAAATGTTACATTTTGTGAGTTGACGGAAGTAAGTTGGGAAGACTGAAAATGTAACTTACCTGGGGTATGCATTGGAATATATTCTAAATTTGGTTGCCATTCTTGACTAGAAGTTGAAGGGGAATTTAGATTATTGTCTTTTATAACAGGACGTGGAGCAGGGCAGACTTTGTAGAATTGTTGCATACTTTTTGGAACCATATAACCGTCGCATTCTACAAAAATTATTAATCAAGTGTTACAGTCCATTGAAAAATTACATTGAGATTACACTTTTGAGAAAAAGCAAATTTATTTTGTTGATATGTGGGGATAAGCTTAAGTTCAAGTTTGTGCGGTCGCAACCCGTGTCCCCGGCGGCCATCTTGGAAAAAGGGAGCAAAGGATTTTCGTGCTATATCTAGGAGTAGAAATTTAAATTTTCTACAACTTTATTTGTATTACTTTTTATTATAAAATTTAAAATAAAAGTTATAATTAAAAATTGAACAAAGTTTCTCTTGGGTATAACTTTTTTTCCGGTCTTACAATAACATGCTATCAGAGCAATATAATAGAGTAATTTTTACTACAAATGTGTTTAATTTCATTAATTTCTGTGGATTTTACAGCTCTCCTAAGTTGACCGGGTTCTTGGATACTCATAAGAATACGATAAAAACGAACCATTGATGGCTAGTTTACGAGATACAGCTCAAAAACTCTTTCCCATTTTTAGGGTTAACGTATACTTACCCTTCCAATACATAAAAAAATTAAATTGTCTCCTCTCAGAAATGCATGACAAAGCATACAAAACGTAACAATATAATGGACTATTAGATATTTTCAGATTATGATAAAATCACGTTTTGACTTACCTCGGTCTCCAGGCTTTGGCGTTAGGCTCATTTCCATCAGTTTGGCATATATACTTGTGAATTCATTTATATTCTGAAAGAAGAAGATTGACTTGTAGAATATATCAATAATGTATTCAATATATGGTGGCATTTTTTCTTCCACTCTGCATAAAGTTTAAATTTGCATCTTACAAATATTCGAAAGAGAAACACAAGGGACATGGAACAACCAGGCTCTGCACGGAGTTTTGATTTATGTTATGAGGGGTCGCTTCCTGCTTCTGCATGTGGTTTTTTCAACTAGTTTTATTTAAGAGTACCTTGAATGCGTTTAAAAACTGGATTTTACAAACATGGAATTGCTAGCGATAGTTGTAGCTTTGGATGAAGATGAAAGAAGACAAAGCCGATGGGCAGTCCACCCAGAATAGATGACAAAATAATCGGAGAAGGAGTTTAGTTATTTTCTTTCACAATGAACTTTTATGGTTGCTGTCCAGGTATTTCAGATGAGCCATATCATAAGTAGCAGGGTACTTCACACACTCAATTGAATGTTAGTCATTCATTATAGAATGCAACTATACTATAATAATATTATTATATAAACATACCAACAAGCCGGACTAGTCAAAAACAAATAAAATAGAAAAATTCCCAGTGAATAGCACGTTGCAACCACTGACAAGTAGTTTATGTTAATACGGAGTGGCGAGGCACGGGAAAAGAATCGTCACGCACGGGGTGAGTTTTCGTTGCCGCCCCATGCCGTTGTACTATAAACTACTCAATGTCTTTCATATCACACGATTCTTTAAAGTGTCCCACAGTAGAACCATTTCTTGCACGGCTTGTTCAAACACAAATCAGCCTTAAGAATTGCTTCTCAAGATATAAGAATGGGAATAAAAATAATCAAATCGAATCGAACTCTTTGTTTACATTGACAGATGCCTTTAAAAAGTGAGTTCTGCGCGCCGATCAGGATATTCAAGGTTTATGAGATGACACACTTTACCCTAAGGGATGGAAAAGAGATCAGTAAGGTCTGTCGGCCAGCCAGTGAGTGTTGGAATTGTCCCAGTACTAACGGTCCCGCTACGATACTTGGGTGTACCGTTGCCTTCTATGATTGAACAAAATAGCAAAGGGTTCCCATTAGAATCGTCTCCTGAAAGAATACCGCTTTATCAGCATAGGAGTTGGAAGTTTTAATGTTTTAATTTTGAGAAATCTGTTATGGCGTCAATCCTGTTCCTTTTTATGGTATTTATCAATTCAATGGATTCCTACTTTGGTCCAGAACCACTTCTGGGATGCAGTTCATCTGGTTATTTCTTACTAGACAAATCTGCATAGGTTGCAGCCAATGGTTATATTTAAAGAAACACAAAATTCACATATACAATTTGAGCCATACTTTACATCCAATTTACAATCTTCTTAAAGATGGAGTATCTTTCAAATGGGTCAGAAAAGAGAAATGATCTCTGATAAAATTTTGGCACATTTTGACCCAAGTTTACTTTTAATACTTGCAATTGATGCATATTTATATCCGGATGGATCTGAGAGACCATCATTTAGTTTGCTTCACAAACACTTCCAAATGTAGTTTGGAATATATTATATTGTAATGTATTGGCCATGTATTATGTAAACCCAGCTTACCGAATATTTTTATTTTTTATTATTTTAAAAGTAACTTGTATTTTGAAAGTTTTTTGTAATCAAATATTTTACCAGTCATCTAGTTAACTAGTTTTGTCCAAATTTCGTAAATATTACAACAAACACCATTCTTGTTGGTTTTAATTATCAGATAATATGTAAACCACAACCTTTTGTATTTATATCATGTAAACCAGCTACCAAAACAGCTTTAATTAAGGAAATATAACAATATTATCCAAGATCGATACGTCAGTGTAGAATTAGGTCAAATAGTGGATCCATGGCTATCAGATATCAGTCACAAAGGCTTTATTAAAGGGCTTTTTAATTTAATCTTGATTAGAATCTGAAACTATTCCTCACAGTTTATCGATCCAAACTTTAAAAGGCGGGAGGAGATGAACTCATAAGGAGTTACATAAAAGCGACTTAGTTTAAAACTGGCATTTACATTTATTGCTGTAAGATTTTCTCTCAGTAGGAATTATTGTTTCTTTATTTTTGTTTTATTTAATTCACTTATTCTGAGTTTAATTAATATTATTACATAGTTGCTCTCTTGTGCTATTTAAGACAGTTTATCTTCGTTAGTTTCTAGAATTTTTTTCTTGAACTTTTTTTTATCAGTACTCTATATCTTACTTTAGATTATTACACCATAATGTCAGTGATTACTCAAAGTCGCTCTATGATAAATGCTTTCTTGGAATATCCCAAGAGATGGTTGTTAAAATACGAGGGTAAGATGACAATTTATTCACGCAAAAGTAAACAACATAACATTTTCTTGCACAAAATAAATGTAATGTTTAATATATTAAAAGCACCGAGTACTAACCTATCAAAAAAGGAAACCTCATGGTTAAGAGAGAAAATGAAGATAAACACAACAAATACAAGCACTATAAACCAATCAGAAATGAAGTGAATACATTAGTTAGACAAATAAAAAGGGAACACTGATAGAGCTTCTCGAAACAAATGGAACACGACTACGGAACACAAAAAAAATCGCGGATGATTAAAGGACAAAGAAAAGAGGTGAATGAACTAATAAAAACCAAACATATTCAGAAGGAAACATGGGTAGACTACTTTCGATCCCAATTTGCTAAAGGTGACGATAATGAAGCACCAACACCAGAAGTGACGACAAACGAAGAAATAAATATTGAGAAGGAAGAGGTAAAGGGAGCATTAAGTAAATTAAAAAATAGGATTAAGATTTTATACATCACAGACAGGTCGTCATTAATATTGTATGCTTCTCATCTAATCATAATAGGCCAGTCGTCTACATGTAACATAAAACGTGACATAATACGTGATGTGTAACAAAGAAGATGATATTTGACATAAAACGCACCATAATACATAACATCTGACATAAAACGTTACAAAATACGTGACGTTTGACATAAAACGTGACATAATACGTGATGTGTGATATAAATGGTGATACATATTTGACATAATATGTGACATTTGACATAAAACGTTACAAAATACGTGACGTATCACATAAAACGTCATATTTGGCATAAAACGTAACGTAACGTTACGTTTTATACGTGAAATATAAATATACGTGAAATAATACGTAACATCTGACATAAAACGTGTCATTTGACACAAAAAACAATGAAGAAGAGGAAATTCCATACCTTCAAAAAATATTGTCATGTATCATAAGATATTGATAGATCACATGGCCCAAAGTATGAGTCTGAGTTTGAATCTTTAAAATGATAATCCGAATTTTTGGGCAGGAATTTGTTATTAACAATTTAATTGCTATATATATATATATATATATATATATATATATATAACAAGCGAGTCTTCTACAGCTGGCGCCGCTTCTCGCATCCTAATTTCCAGCGTTTTCTATCGAAGCAATCTTCAGTTGTTAGATCTCTGGCGGTCATTGCATCGTCGACATCGTCTCTCCAGGATCGTCTTGGTCTACCTCGTTTTCTTCTAGTTGGCGGAGTCCATTCTTCTATTTTTTTTTTGGCCATCTATTTTCCGGCATTCTCTGAAGGTGTCCATACCAGTTAAGTCTTTTGGCTTCGATTGTGTCTATTATGTCTAGATCGATTTCCATTTCTCTCCGAATATCTTCGTTTCTCACCCTATCAAGTCTAGTGAGCTGGCAACATCGTCTCCAGTAGTTCATTTCCATGGCCTTAATTTTTGATTTGTTTCTTTGGTTTATTTCCCAGAGTTCGGCGCTATACAGTCCAATACTTTCTATTATTGTTTTATAAATTCTTCTTTTATTTTCTTTTGTTATTTTTTTATTCCATAATAGTCCGTGTAGCTGCCTGGTGGCTGATCTTGCTTGGCCAATCCTGGAATGTATTTCTTCGCTACTTCCTGCTTTTGATGTTATTTGGACTCCCAAGTACTTAAAATTGTCTGTTGGTTTTATAGTTCCCATTTTCGATTTTGATTTAATTGCTTACATGCTTATAACTAATAAACTAATAAAAATATGCCCTTTTTTAAAATCATGGTTTGTTTCTTTTAGAAAAACAAATCAAAAAGACTTCTTTTTGCACTACGTGAAAAGCTTTAATTAACCTCATTTTAAAGCCATAATTCGAAGCTTTAAAATGAATTATGAAAAATTAAATTTTATCAATTTTTGACGAAGTTAAAGTTTAAAACCTACAATTTAGGTGTAAAAAAACAATCGAATTTGTTCGATTTTTGGGATTAAAAAATGTAGTATCATGTTAATGGGGACTATAGTACAATGGAAAACGTACATCTTGAGTTTTGCTAAACTTATTTTGATGAAGTATTCGCTAAAATACAGTAATTTGAAATTGACCAAGTTGATGTGCTTAAGTGGCAAACAGCAAAACTCTCCAAAAAAATAACTTCTGCGTGTTTCGTTAATCGTAAATTATTCATGAATTGTTTCTAGAATAATAATTCACATATTATTTAATAATCTCAATTGTTTTTTATACGTGAATTACCACTGCTTTCAAAGAATTAATGAACAATTTTGCGACAGGGCAATTGAAAATTGCGCGAAAATTAATATTTTTAACAATACTTACGATAACTCCTCTAAGCATGGTTGCCATCTCAGAGAAACCATTGGCTTCCGCCATCTCTAACGGTGTTAAATCATAAATGTTCCGGATTTCATACGCCACGTCAGCACCGGGACATTCTAACAATTGCAAAGTTAATTTTTCCAATCCAAACTTGGCTGAAAAGTGAAGAAGGGTGGGGAATTCCTCGTGGCCTAAAACATCGCAATATAAATATACTTTTATAATTATCTTGCAATAAATAATCATTGTAAGAAAGACTGATTCTAGTAGTATAAGGCAGCCGCTGATATATTTACTTACTTCTTTTATATCCTTGATTTCCTCCATTAACATGTCGCTGCTCGTAATGGCCCAATATATTAAAATGTGGTGGCAAATTCCTTTGAAAGTTGTGTACCAACCAGTTATCAATGTGATCTCTCTCTGATGGACTAAAGCCTATTGACTGAAAATTTACAAACCATATGTAACAGTGTAATAGGAAAGTAAATTTAGAAAAATTTCATTTACAATCGTTTTTCTACTAAATCAGTCATGAATCTTAGATTATATACCAAATTTAAGTATTTTATAATTGTATAATAAACTTAGGCAAATATGCAAAATGCATATATTGCATATTTTATGTAATGATCTAGGGATTTTGCATATTTATACAAAAAATTGTATAAAATGAATTAACGTCCAATTTGTGAAAATGCTGAATGCCATCCTTATATTGTCGTCTCTTGCACTAGACAATGGCCGGAGCAGGGAACTTAAATTTATTTTTCAAACTTAAGATAGCAAATATTTCAATTAATATCGCCACCATACAGTCAGGTAGTACTTAGGCATGGGGACAAAGATGTGTAAGTGGGCGGAGTTTAATACTGAATTCGTTTTTACCTTAGAGTGAGGTATCTAGGTGGTGGTATATAATCAATGATTATACATTAAGTAATAAAATATAATCGTTGGAATGTAACTACGCCTTAAAAAATAGTCTATCAAAGTTTCTAGTCCCGTAAAAATATAGAAATTACTTACCTGGCACATAAAATCTATGGGGTTATTGACATTCCTGAGAATTTCTTCCAGTTCTCTCAGTCTGCTCTCGCATTTCATAGGTCTACTGCCGATGATGTTGCCGTTTTTTTCGACTAGGATATTAACAATCGCAGTGATTTCTGTAAGCGATTCAGGCATCCAGAACTTTAACAGGTACGGGTTTCGTTTTTTAACGTTATTTATTACGAAAATTTCTCCATTTTTTTCAACGGAAATTTTTACAACGTCATCTTTTTGAAGAGGGAAAGTCAGTATGACCAATACGCTGTTTTGGCCCTAGAAATAATCAAAAATATATCAAGATTTTTAGGCGAAAATGTGTTGAAGTAACCAAGAAAAGGAAAACAACAAAAAATATCTTTCAAATCAGTTTAACGTTAATAGAGGATTAACACAGAGAAATCCCCTATTAACTTATTTAACCTTGTAATAGCAAAAATAAATAGGGGAACCAAGATCCAGACAAGCGGCACGATTCTTAACAAAAGACAACAGTGTATAAGTTTCGTAGATGACTTGGTATCTCTTACACGTTCAAGAATAGAACTTTACAAAATTTGAAGAAGTGAGGATGGAAAATGCAGAAGAAAATAAATGGATCACTCTAAGAACGAATAAGAGAGAGAAAGAGAGAGAGAGGGGGGGGGGGGCGAGAGATAAAGAGAGAATAAATTTGAGTAGGTAACAGAATTTGAGTACTTTGTAGTAACAGTTACAAATAGAGGAGGAGAAGAAAGAGAAATAGATAAATAATTGTTTAAACGAAAGGTAGCAAAGCAGTAGGATCATCAGACGCACTGTTAAAGGCAAAAAAACGTGTCCAGGGCAGCCAAGATTAGAAGTTATAAAACAATAGTAAGACCAATGGTGATATATTTATGTGAAACTTGGACAATGAATCAGAAAGAAGAAAAACAAGTTAGAGAAACTGAAAGAGGAAAATTTTTTGGTGGTCTAATGGAGGTTAACGGGGAAAGGCGCAGAAGAAGAAACCAGTAGCTATCAAAATATCATAGAATATCAAGACACAGAGAATAAGATGGTTGAGATATGTTTTACGAATACTGGAAGAAAAAAACTTCCTAACAGTTTTGGAAGTAGGAGAACAAGGGAAGAAAAGAAAAGTGACACCACGAAAAAAGTGGTTTGGTGTCATCGGGAGTGATATAGAAGAAATAGGAACAAGGTACTCCAGAGAACAAGTGATGGAGCAGGAAAAGTGGAGAAACTACTCAAGACTTTCGAAGCCAAAGGATTCTTTGGGCTGCCTCAAGTGTTGGGGAAAAAAAATCTAAACTAGCTGGAACGAAAAAAGGAAAATAATAAAAATGTACAGAAGGAAAATAGTTATAACTAAAAATTAAAAATTTACTTACTAACAAATTGGGCTAGAACTAAATAGCAAAATAAATTGAAACTTGATATAAAGAAGAATCCACAAAGTAGTAGATAACAAACCCAGCAGCAATTCGTATGTTAAACTAAAAAAGTTTCTTCAAACCCTCGTATAAATAATACATATACTTACTTGACGAATTTTCTTGGGACTAATGGAAAAGTACGATTTATCTTGCGAAATTATGGAGATTTGTTGTTTCCAAACTTTCGACAAAATTGTCATTGCTTGTCCTAAAAATTCTTTGGTGAAGTTCTCATCTTGATCGTGCCCTACGCATTTTCGATGCCATTGGAAATATGTCGGCAACACTGTAAAATAAATTAAGTACACAATATTAGTATGCTATAACATAAATTATACATAAAATATTACAGGCGCTTAAAGAATGCAGGATTATAGATATACTAAATTATTATACAAAATATACCTGCAGGCAACAACCACTGTCAGATTATATACTAACAGTAATCGCATAAAAATAGAACGGGGGGTTAGACAAGGAGACCCAATGTCACCTAAACTTTTTAATACGGTGCTAGAACATGCTTTTAAGAATTTGGATTGGATGACAAAGGGAATAAAAATAGATGGAGAATATCTAAACAACTTACGTTTCGCCAATGATCTACTTATAATAGCTGAAGATCTAGGTATGGCAAGAGAGATGGTACAGGAACTCGTTGTGGCTACAGAAAATGTAGATTTAAATATAAATATCTCGAAAACAAAAATCATGACCAATTTGGTACCCAACCAGAACATCAGTATTGGTGGGAAAGAAATAGAACTCGTAGATAGATATAAATACCTGGGACATGAAATTATGATTGGCAGGGATAACCAGACTCATGAACTGAAAAGAAGAATCGGCCTTGGGTGGGTAGCATTTGGAAAACTGAGAGAAACTTTTAAAAGTGAGCTGCCACATGCCTAAAGAGAAAGGTATTTGATCAGTGCGTCCTCCCAGTCTTGACTCACGGAGCAGAAACACTGACCTTAACAAAAGCAGCAGCTACCAAACTGAGAGTCACGCAGAGAAGAATGGAGCGGTCCATGTTAGGAATAACTCTGCGAGACAGAATAACCAACGAAGACATCAGGAGAAGAACCGGAGTGACTGACATCATCGAGAAGATAGCCAGACTAAAATGGAGATGGGCAGGACACATAGCCAGAATAACAGATGGGCGATGGACAAAGAGGTTATTGGAATGGAGGCCAAGGGAAGACAAGAGAAGCGTCGGTCGACCACCTACAAGATGGACTGACGATTTAAAAAGACTCAACAAAAACTGGATAAGAGCGGCGCAAGATAGACGGGGTTGGAAATATGAGAAAGAGGCTTATGTTCAGCAGTGAACTCTTGAGACTGGATGATGATGATGATGATAATATAAATTGTATCAATAGTGAACAGAGAAATCTGCACGTCAGTATGGTATACGATTTTTGTATTTTTACGGAGTATTTCTTCGGTATTTCATCCTAACATACATTGTATGTATGGTTCCTTTAGAGTTATCTATTCTTCATCTTTTTCTTCAATTATTTCTTTTATATCATATATTTAAGGTAAGATAATATTTGGTCTTTATCTATTTTTATCCTATTTATGTTGTTTCATATTTTCGTAAAGATTCTAATACTCCTTTAAATATAAAAAAAATGTTTACTATATAACACGATCCCTTCCTGCAACATTATAACATTATAAGAGTTACAACTCACCTTTTTTGTGGACTTCGTTAAAATCATCGTCAGTTACACCTAAAAGTAAAGCAAGCGTTTTCTCAGCTAGCAGTATTTTTTCAAGAAGCCTACACTCTACCGAACGGTCTGCTACGGTTTCTAAAAAATTCGGACACATAACCACGAGTTGGAGTTTAACTGCAGTCGTTCTGGAAACGAAGTCCGCGTGTTCTTCTTCAGTCTTTGAGATTATTTCTTCTAACGACGAATGCTGTATCCTAAAAAAATTAGCCTACATTCAGCGGACAATTGACATACTACACAAAAATTTATATTGTCCATCTGGTGGATCTTTGCACAAGCACAGAATAATAAACAATCATGCCCACTTTGCTTAAAAAAATAAGTACGCGCATCTCGTTAGCGCAGACGAAATCAGCGATGTTTTAGACGGAACCAGTTCAGTGACATTTTATCTGGTGTATATAGTCAAATTAACCCGGTTTAATGTATTTACGGCAACTACAGACATAATATGCACTACTTTATTCGTACTTTTAGTTTAAGGATAGATCAAATTATTTCAAATGTACTAAATTATTAATCTCTAAAAATTTAAATTACAGTTCTGTCGTCGCTTGTCACAAATTTCTCAATTCGAGTCTATGTTTCCGTCTAAAACATGGCATTTGCGTGCTGACAAACTTCAAAAGCGGTATCTGAGAGTGGACATTCTGATTGGTTATTATTCTGTGGCACAAGTATGACATTATTCGTGAAATATTTTTTTTATTACGTCCGTTTCCTTCTCACAGCAACAAAACAAAATCTATGAACTTAAGCCGCCTTTCCATACACTATTGCATAGAATGATGGTTGGTGATTGATTCACCTACTGGCAATTGTAAGTTTCGTTTTGACAGCGTTTGTAGTGTGTTTATAAATTAACTTTGATGGTACACAAGGCAAATATCGAACACAGTAGTTAATCAAATCTTGTCCAAGTACTTTCGATCACAAGATCATCCTCAGGGGCATTTCGTCAGTTGTGGCCTATCCAGCAGTAATAGAATGTTATAAATGTAAATTATGACATAACAAATACATTAAACAAAGACAAACAAACGCTTTAAAATTTAAAAAATGGAGAAGCTACATTTTATATAGAAGCCGGAGACAGAATCATTCTGTCTCCGGCTTCTCCATTTCTTAATTTTAAAGTGTTTGTTTGTCTTTGTTTAGTGTATTTGTTATGTCATAATTTACATTTATAACATTCTATTACTGCTGGATAGGCCACAACTGACGAAATGCCCCTGAGGATGATCTTGTGATCGAAAGTACTTGGGCAAGATTTGATTAACTACTGGTTCGATATTTGCCTTGTGTACCATCAAAGTTCATTTATTCGAACATTCAACCTTATATTGTTTATAAATTATTTAAAAACATTTTTAACAAACATTTGCTATAACGACTAACTTTTACCTTGGTGTGTGAATTATTATGGTAAGAATTTATTTATCAGTTAATAACGAATAATATAATAATTGAGGCGGTAGCTAGAAGAAGGTGCTAAAAGTGTATTTTGAGAAACAAGCATTTAAAGATTTAATATCCATGCTAACGCGAACTAACATTTGCATTGTTTAAGTGTTTTAGTTTTAAAAATTTTCAATCCATTGATAAAATAATAGAGAACGCCTTTATAATATTATGTCCTTTTTTCCTTCTCAAATGAAGAGTATTAAAACAAGTTTACATACGCATTTCTTTTGGAGATCACTTTTGTCAGATTAAAACGTCTTCTCCAAAAGAAAGGCCTATAACGTTTTAGTGTTTGTATCGTGTAAAGGAAGGTTTAAAATAATAATCAAGGTTTTTGTGCAACAAGAGAACTTTTATTTTGTTTACATTACATTCCTTTCTTGAAATAAAAGTTTGTAGAAGTTTCTACTTTTTTTTCATAAATACTGAAAAGTGCCTTGTTCTTTTTTTAACCATTATCATAAAAAGAGTCAAATAAACGCTTTTGATCTTGCGAAGTTATTTTTGCAAAATATTTTGCGTACACAACACTTACGGACAACAGAAAATACCTTACTCTGTACAGTTTTTCCCGTAAATTTTGAAACATATTCCTGTCCACTCTGTCTCTTAGATTTTGCCACATTTTCTTTCAAATGGTGTCTCTGAACAATTTTCTTTTTGGTATCTTTTGACACCGCGTTATCCAAAATAGCTTTACTACTGGTCATTACTTTAAAATTCACTTAAACTTACAATTTAAAATATAACATACATCATCTTTACATTGTCAGAAATTCACCAAAACAAAAATGATATAGAGGCACAAATCTTTCTCAGCTGTGCCAACATTTCACTAAAAAAGTGTTGTACCAACGTAAAAAATCGTTATGATAGACACAGAGAACAACATTAATAATTCAATTATGTGTTCTTCGGAAGAAGGGCCTATAATAGGCTTATAAGCCCTTTTTATAGCCACTGCCTCAATTCCATCCTCTAAATTGACGTTTGGTTATTTAAATATGGGCAAAATCTCATGATATGAAATCTTTTTAAGGGTATTAATTTTTAGAATATGCCTGGTAAACCATTGAACTCCCAAGCACAACAACTTGTGTTAAATGTGTTTCAAACTATTTCAAATTAGAAAAAATGAATGAAAAGCCTTTGGAGCCATATTCATCTATTTAACTTGTAACCTATTAAAATGTATGTTCAATTATCAAAATAAATATCATTGGATAATCTTTATTTAAGAGAATCTTCTTCTTCATGTACCATGTCCTTTCAGAACGTTTGTTAATATCATAGCTATTTTAATTTTATTCACTGCCACCCTAAAAAGCATGCTTGTATCTACACCATACCAATCTCGCAAGTTCTTCAACCATGAGGTTCTTCTTCGTCCTGGACTGCGTTTGCCTGCTATTTTTCCTTGCATGATATTTTGTAGCAATCTATGTTTGGGACCTCTCATTACATGTCCGAAATATTCCAGCTTTCTCTGCTTGATGCTTTTTATGATCTCAGTGGTCTTGCTGAGACGTTCAAGTATTGTGGAGTTACGAATCTTCTCCACCCAGGAAACTTTTAAAATTCTTTTATTCACAGTCCAGGACTCGACAGCATAAAGTAAGACCGAGAACACGTAGCAGCAAAGTAGGCGGATCCTTAATGCCAATTTTAGGTCTCTGTTACATAACACCTTGGACATCCTTCTAAAAGCAGCTCTAGCCTGCTCTATTCTGGATCTAATTTCGCCGTGATTTTCTGCATTACAATTTAATTGCTGTCCAAGGTAGACGATTTTATCAACTTGCTCAAGTTTGGTATTATTTACATATATAGACGGTTTTATATTCTGTTGTTTACTTATTACAAGTATTTTGGTTTTCCTTATGTTAAGATCCAGACCTACCTCCCTACAACTCTCAACGACACTATCAAGTAGTGTTTGCAGATCTTCTTGACTAGAAGCTAGGAGTACTGTATCGTCCGCATATCGCAAATTATTGATGACTTCGCCGTTCACAAGTATTCCTTCTTGTTTTTCAGAACTTTCAGAATTTAAGAGAGTAGCTGCTGCATTAAAGATATCACGACGGACAGAGTGTACAATGGTAAAATGGAAAGAAAATAATCATATTCTTTCAAAGCCAGGCAAAAGTACACCTGTAGTTCGAAAAACAAATAAATGATGACAATGTTCAAAGATCCTGCTGATCTACTGTAGATGGATCAATATGCGAAGAAACAAAAATATTTGAAATTTTTTTTAAATTTTTAGTAAGAAATGTATATTTTTGTGTATATTTTATGTGAAAAAATGATTATATAAACATTATTTTGTTTTATAGCACGCTCGAAACAAACTTGGCACTGTTTATTAAGTTTTTTTTTCAACGTAGACTTGGCGGCACTTAAATAAATACCCCTTATTACAATTTAATAGCACGTTTCACCGCAGGATATTTACTGAATCAACAAAATTTTCAAATTATCTCGAGAGTTATAATAAGCCTAAGGCTCTTTTGTCAATTTACTTACCTAAACGGTTTCCTATTGGCGTGTTTACTTATCTGCTGAAAGTAATTGGAGAAGTAATCGACCCATAAGGAGGCTGCTTCGCTTTTTTCTACGGATATTATCAGGATGTCGTCCATGTTAATATTTTTCGAGGTGCCTAAAATAGACAGCTTATTATGGTAACTAAGAATTAATTAATTGTTTGTTTATGATAAGATCTACCAGAAAAATAACGAATCTCGACTTTTGATGAAAAAACTAAATTTCTACAGAATTCAAGGTATTTCTTTGAATTGGTTCCAATTGAGATGAACAAACAAAAATGCAATTGACAAAATCTAGATCATAATAGAGAAAAATTAATAACGTAAATGAGTAAAAGCTATCCAAAACGGCAATAAAGCATAAAAAAGCAATGTTAAGGTATTTATTATTGTTATTCCACGAATATACGACTGTTTTGAACTATTGCGACAACGAATATTTTACTGTGCAATTATAAGTATGAAGGTAAATTGGTCTAATTATTATTCCAATAAAAAGGACCTTCTGTTAGTATAACATTTAAACTAAAATTATTTCAGTTAATAGATGTTCAGATAGATGCAAATTTATTGTGAAAATTAATCCGAAAAAAAAACAAAAATTTTTACGCCATCGCTCCTACAAATAAATACAATGTCGTTTATAAAGCTAAATGTATTCATCAGACATTTGGGATGGAGTTCAGTGATATGTAAACACCAAAGAGGAGTGTGGGTTTCTTTGATATTACATTATTTTATTACTTTATTAGGTACTACAACGGCAACAAAAAGAAATACATTATTTTTAATATAAATAAAAAGAAATTGGCAAAACGATGGTCCAGAAACCAGAAAAAGAATCTAATATTTGACGTTGTTAGTTTTAAATATGTTATAAATTATATATAGTTATATATAAAATTATATAAAGTTATAAATAGTTGTTTGCTTTGAGTGGATGAACTCTTAAAAGTTCCGAAAGTAACGGGTATAACATACCGGCTATTGATAGTTAAAGCAAAGAATATAGACGCTTATAAGCGTCTATAGTCTTTGGTTAAAGTACAGAGTTACAGATATTAAAAAGTAACGAAAATTTATATACAGTTTCATAATACCGTCGACTAATTTTAGTTTTAAAAACCGTCCGTATAGAGGTGTCCGGTGAAGAGAGGTGTCCGTTAAGAGAAAGTTTAGTGTAGTGTATTTGTTTGTGTTGATTAGGAGAATAAGAGAATAAGTAAGTTTTTTTTTGTTTTTTTAATACTAATTGAATATTCGACCAAATTTAATCACTTAAGTATTTTTACACTTGGTTTAAATCACTTAATTCAAAAACCAACTTGTTTACAATACTAAACTTAATGATAGGAATTATATAAGTACTTCAAAATCTGAATTACAACTGTTCTATAAACTATCAATTTCTATATTTATATTATGACTTCATATTTAAATCTAAGGTTTATATCTGTCATAACAGTATTTTAAAAATGGGGAGAATTTACCATTATACAATTTAGCACATTGGACCATTCAAATCGAAACCTTAAAACAGTCGTATATTCGTGGAATGGAGAACTATCCAACCAGTAACCCAATACTTTTCTTTATAACTGGCTCCTTCGCCAAACTTTCAAAAAAATTTTAATGTAAAAGGTGAACCAAAGAAAAATATTCCGGCCTTAATGCAAAAAATGTAAATCAAGAAATTAAATTATATTTATTATTTAATTAAAAACGTCCAATTGCTTAGATTTAATTATAAACTGTATGAAAATAACTTTGGAGAGCCATTTGTAAGTGTATTTTATAGTCTTCCCAATGTTCTTCACAGTTACTAAAATTTACTTTTTATGAACAAGACTTTGAAGTTCTGACAGACAAACCAACCACTATAATGCCCTCTTATTCAGACTTACCAATTTTAACTAATCTGATATTTAAATCCACACTAAGTAAATTTAGGGAAGGTTTAACAATAATTTATACAGATTGATCAAAAAAGTTGAAAGTACTGGTTTCGCTTTTTTTATTTCAAACAGAAATTATGTTGAGAAATATCGAATTCCTGAATGTTGTTCTATTTTTACAGCCGAGGCTGCTGCTACACAGAAAGCACTAACTTGATGTGTCAATAATTATTGTGATAACATCTTAGTAGTATCAGATTCTCAGGTAGTATTACAAGCTATTAGTAGCCACCCATTAGATAGTTTTCAAAACTCTAATATACTTGATAATCAACAAATTATTACATAAACCACAATTCACAAAAAAAAAACAGTTACTTTACTCTAGGTTAAATGACACAATGGAGTAATTGGAAACGAATTAGTGAACAGACAAAAAATACATGTGTGATATCTGAAATTACAAATGTTTACTACTTTAAAGATCTTTTTTTGATTATCAGTATTTTCAGGGTAAGATGGATGTTAAAATATAAAGAGATTCAGAAGACTTCGAGAAACCAATACTTTTCTATTTATCCATGCTTACCAAAAAATATTCCCATTCGGCTAAAACTTAACCATGGTCTTTTTCCAGAGCATCATGGAATCTATGAAACTCCTTTCTACCCTTGTAATAATAAATCTTTCGGAGATTTGAACCATTGAGCCTATATTTAGATTTAATCGATCTCAATATTACCCTACCAGTTAATATCAGCAATCTGTTATCTTATTCTGACAAATCTATATATATAATATTCTAATCAAGTTTATAACGGATTCTAAGATCAAAATTGAAAAATCCTTATAACAATTTTTTGCGGCAAAAAGATTCTTTGCCTAATGTCATCTTTCTCTCTCCACACACTCGCAACCTCTGCATTTTAACCACAAATTAAATCAAAAACAATCGCTAAGAAAAATGAAAACACGTTAGCGAATCTAAAAAGTCGAAAGAAAATGCAAAAACTAAGAAATGCCTAAAATATACACACTTCAAAAATACTTTTTTGCATTTTCTTTCGACTTGTCATAAGTGTGTACAAAAAATATCAGTCTTTTGATTGTGAATCTAAAAAGACTACTATCAATAAAATTATTTTATTTCTACTAGACACACACTTACTGTAAAACTGTTCTTTTCAAGGATTTATAAGAGCACACGGTAGCACAGCCACAACACTATTTATTAATAACAATAACTAAAATACGATAATTACTAATCAGCAAATTTAATTCCGATATCGATGGTATTTACTCTTGATAGTTACCTCAAATAAATAATTCTGTAGTCAATATTTGAGAAATGATTTTAAGTACAAAACGGGAATTAGTCTGAATCATTAAATTATTTTTAGACCAACTTTATTGTTACAGCAGTATAAAAAAAGTAATTTCAAATATTATCACAATTCAATTATTATTCGACTACTCACATTGCTATGGAATAAACTGCACACATAAAATATCGAATTTAATGTCAACATTAGTAAAACGCGAAAACCAGTGATTCATTATTTATTTATATATGTACAGGGTATACAAGATTATAATCTTAAAATTTTTCTAAGAATACTTTACAACAGAATTATACGCAAATGCGAAGATCTTGAAGATATCCAATTTGGTTTTAGAAATGCTATGGAAACCAGGGAGGCAATTTTTGCGCTTAACATCCTATTACAAAAATGCCGTGACCAAATAAAAGATGTATTTGCATGTTTCGTTGACTTCAAAAAGACATTCGATAAAGTACAGCATGTAAAATTAATGCATATACTGAAAAATATCGGAAGAGATGACAAGGATATTCGTGCCATTAAAAATTTGTACTGAAATCAAACTGCTACCGTAAAAACTGGAGATAACTACACCGATGAAATCTATACACAACGAGGTGTCAGACAAGGTTGCATTTTGTCGCCAACATTGTACAATGTTTACTCGGACCATTTATTTAAAGAGGCATTCGAGAGACAACAATATGGAATAAAAATCAACGGGGAACTACTTCAGCAGACAATACAGTAATTCTATTATCAGATAATATTGAAGGTCTTCAAATTCTGCTTGATCGTATTCAAGAGGTAGGAGAGGAAATGGGTACTAAAATCAACTCAAACAAAACCAAATTTTTAGTGTTTAGTCGTGACCCACATCCCGATGCAAAGCAATTAAACGGAGTCCAAGTTGAGAAAGTTCACAAAATGACATATTTGGGAACTGTGATATCGGACCAATTAGATCCAGACATAGAAATAAAACGTAGAATAGCAATGACTAAAACTATTTTATGAAAATGAAGTCATTTTCTTACAATAACGATCTCAGTTTAGAACTAAGACAAATAATGGTTAAGTGCTATGTTTGGTCCGTACTTTTGTATAGTGCAGGGATCATAGACGAATGCTAAAGATACCTTTTACAGCAAGGAAAACTAATGAAGAAGTACTAAGGAGCGTCAACAAAGATTGAGAACTGCTAAAGACTGTTAAATATCGAAAAATGTCTTATCTGGGACATACAGTAAGGGAAAGTCGATATAAAATATTACAATTGATGCTTAAAGGCAAAATAGATGAGTAGGAAGAAAACAAGTTTCTTGTTTAAAAAACATTCGTGAATGGACTCAGATACCAAATGCAGGACAATTATTCCATATTGCAGAAGATCGAGAAGCCTTCGCAATGGTGATCGCCAATGTCGGATAATTCTGATATGGCATGACGCAAATAATACAAGATATTCTACAATTTTTGAATTCGTGGGTGATTGGTTTATTATGGTAGGAGATTTTAACACGAAATACACAATAGGATTCAAGACTCATAACAACAAATGGTAAAGCATTGCTCAAAGCGATAAATGAGAATAAGTGTGAAGCAATCTCAATAAGAAAGATTTAATAGATTTTTATATCATCAAGAATGTATCTAGCTACTACATACAAATAGAAGAGAACTTAGGAGTCAACTCTGTGTTGTTCAACAATAAACCGGACTGGGACAGCTTTAGAATTACATTCTTCTTCTTCTTAGCCATCTGTCGTTTATGCTTGGACATAGGCCTCTCCCAACTCCTCCCATCATCGGTCTCTATCCTGAGCAACATATTCCAATTTGTTCCGGCTATTCTTTTGATGTCATCAACCCATCTCATCTGCGTTCTTCCTCTTG